TGGATATGCCACTTAACCACAGAGTCTTCTAATTCATAGAAGACGCTCAGTAGATTCTCTCCTTGTCTGCCTTCCCCTCATTTGACCAGAGTGGCACATTTTGGGGACTTCACCGTTTTTTGTAAGATTCATCATAACTTGCAAAAAATCAGTTGCCACTTTGCCTTCAAGTACACAGAGCATACATGCATTTAAAGATCCTGAGAGGTTATCCTTAGATCTTAATCTAGAAAGAGAATTAAATGAACAGATTAACAAAAGGATCGATCTAATTATTAAGATTCCACAGCTTTTAATACCAACTTATTAAGTTATATCTGTTAAATACATGAACACATACAACATGTCATTCACAGTGATTAGAATTTGCACAGTAGTGCCCGGAGACATAAGATGCTCACCAGTTAAGTACGTGTCCAACAACATACAATATGCACTTTACCTTGGGATTGTGACGTTTTAACATAAAACATAAAATCAGTGAAAACGCATAGGGTTTATCAGTAAAACCACATAAATACCTACATTTGTTCAATCTGTATACCCCTGGAACAAAAGTGGGGGAAGTTACATGTTTTAATGACTTTGGGAATAAAGTCATTTGATTATGTTCAGGTACTTTATTAGCGCCATGTCATGTTTCTCCTTCCTCCTGAAGCCTTGCAACAGGAGAGCGGCACTTGCCTGTCATGTTCCCTCTTGCCTTGCTCTTCAGTATTTAGATGAGTACTGTCATGTGACAAATGCTCAAAAAAACAAAACAACAACAACAACAAGCCAAAAACCAAAAAGCAAAAAACAACTGATTCATGGATGAAATGAAAAGGCTGCTGCGCTGGGTGTCAGGAGCTGTGAATTCTAGCTCAGCATTGCTACCAGTTACTGTCTGACATTGGGCCATTTATGTTACTTTCCTGAGCCTGGGTTTCTTCATTATTAAAATGATGTAGCTTGGAGTAGATAAACTCTGAAGATTCCCTTGGTTCTACAATTCCATGGCATTCTCTATTGGCTTAGATGATCAAACCATCACTTTGTGTTGGACACTCTCTGAACGAGTGGAAAATGACAGCCACTTGTAGGCTGGGAGCCACTGAACCCTTGACAAGGCCTGCCAGGTTCTTAATGATCCAATGGAACACACAGAAGTCAGTTTAAAAATGGTCAGGTTCAAAAAAATACAAATGGCCACATAACCATAGATTTGGAAAAGACCTCAGACATCCTTTTGCTAGATCCCTCCTCTCACCTCAGTGATGGAATGGCTTCTACAAAACCTTTGAGATAAGCCCTTTAACCCTTGAGATAATCCCTTTGCTTGACTACATCTAGGGCCTGAGAACTCACTATTTGAGGACATTCTATTCTTGGGGTAGGTAGTTTCTTTGGGTATCCAACCAGAAATGATTAGCCTGTAAACTGGAATTTCTTAACCCTAGCTCTTTCCTCTAAGAAGATGTGGAAAAAGCCCCCCATTGTTTCTACATCACCCATAGGTATTTGATAACATTTCTCCCGTCTTCCAACAATTTCTCCTGCGGTTATTAAAACACATCCTATTTGCTAAGAGCAGAGGATAACTGGATAGGCCCAGGATTATGATTCAGGAAGCCAGAAACCAGCTCTAGATCTTCCATGAACTCATTGTGTGACCCTGAACAAGTACCTTCTGTCTGGGTTGGTACGATATTTTCTTCTTAAAATAGGGCGATGGAAGGGGTAGGAGGCAAATTTGTCTCAGAACTCAGGAGGTCTAAATATGGCTGTCAGCGTGGGGCAGCGCAGAGATGTGACTGCTCTGCTCCACACTCTCTTTCACCATTAAAGCAAAGGGATTCAGGGGTTAACAGACCACTGAATCCTCCCCAGGCTCAGCTGCCAATATGATGCAATAGCTATTACTACCTAGGATAGTGGTGCAGGCTTCAAAAAAATAAATTCTGCTAAACATGGCAAAACAATTTCAGGACCCTGAGCCCTAGGAAAGCAAGGCTTCATGAGGCAAGAGATACTACTGCATGTGTTTTGCAAGGTGCAGCGTATAACAAACAATCCTATCCCGAAGAATTAACCCCCAGTGTCGCAATCACGGGAACATGATTGGGAAAGGACTGGGGAAAATATCCTGCAAGAGAATGTTAGCAATAGACACGCCTCGTGCACACTGAGCTAGCCAAACTTTTATAATCCAGATGGGTTGTTGACGAGCACGGAGGTGGAACTTCCTCTGGGGTGACGTAACTTGAATGGAAATGGAGCCAAGGGCCCTGGTATGCCCTGTTATTGAACTGAACCAGACACTTTTCGGGATGGGAAAGTCCTACTGTACCTTAGTCAAAACATTTAGGAATTTGAGTAGCTTAAGCAATGCTGTTCTGCCAAATAGATCTAAACCATGCTAGGGTCAAAATGCTAGGGATCCTATGCATTCTGAGCATGGATCCTGTATTTTCTGAAGCACACATGCTTCTCAAAGTACCCCTGGCTCGTCCATACGGTCTAATATTTTCAAGGGTGTTGATGGCCAAACTCAAGTCCACACCTCTCTCCACATGTGGCTTAAACGATGGATTCTACCAGAGGAAATGATATCTTCATTGTGTCCCCTTTTATTAACAGAAAACTCTCTTTGAGAAGCTATTAAAAAACACTTAGTGTAAACACAAATCATTTTGTTAATGATCATCCTTCATCAGATGGCACCCATTTTCCTAATGAGAAAATATCCACGTGCCTAAAGTTAGCTAATTAATTAGCTAATACTGCCAATATAAATGAAAGGATGTGCAGATAATGGAGGTGCTGAGCAGTTAGAATGAACACGTCTGAGACCAGAATAATTTCTCTTTGTGTCCCTAGGGCGAGTAGGCATGCAGCAAATGTGGAATTGATTTGAATTCAACCTTTTGAGACACAATGAAACAGCAAAGCATTTTCCTCCTAAATTAACTCTTTTCTAAAGCATGTAAGCATGGCCCTTCTTCCCTGGCAAATCTCTGAATGCATCCCATTTACTCTTTTTAGGGGACCCTCACGTGTCCTTAAGCATTCTCTCACCTTGTTTCTAAAACCAGTGCACTAATTTCTGCCACGGAGATAATGTCTAAGAAACAGAAGTGTTGACTTGAGTCCTACTAGAAATGGTCAGCAAGGCCTTTCTGAATGGTACAAAGTATAGAGATTTAACAAATTCACCGGAGAAAACTTCAGCACAATACACTCTTTGACAAACAAGCTTAGGACAGGCACAGAAATAGATACGTGGCAGGGATTTTGACCAGAAGTGGTCAAGTCTTTTTGAAAAGCAGGAAACTTCTATTTCCTGGATGAACTTCCAGATCCATCAGATCCCCTACGATGCCTTGGGCAGGTCTAAAGATGCTGGGTAACAAGAGTTCCTTTTAGTGGAGAAGAAGGTCCATTCTGGCCTTTTCCATGCAAATCCTCTCCTGCACCCCACATTGCTTGGGCACTTGTGCAAATGCCAACAGGGCATTTTATTTTCTCCATGGGGGTGTGAGTTCTGATTCTGGAGCCAGACTAGAGCCTTTGATACCATTATTCTGATCTGCCAGCTAACATTGCTCTCGGAGTACGTTGAAAGAGCTTCGTCTTATCAAGCTGGTTTAGTTACTGAGAAACCTTTCCTTTCTGCTTTAAGTAAAGGGTAATTCCTCCCTCTGAGATGCCCTTTCCCTGAGGCCATCTGTTGTCCCCGCCCACTCTCTTCAAGGACTAGTTCAGGCTTCACTTCCTTTATGAAGGCTCTTTTGAATCAGGTGGAGGTGACCACACCCTTCCCTCTGCTCAGCTGAGTGGCTGGGCTCTGTGCCAGTGGTTGCGGGAACCTGAAGCCTTTAGAACCTCAGTTTCCCAACTGAGAAACCAGAAATCAATGTTTATTTAATTATAACTTGACCAGTATTGACCAAGCACTGTTACAGCCCTCATCCTGCTCAGAAACGCCATCACACACCTCAGTGCCTCTGTAGTTTCCTGCCAACAAGGGTAAGAGTGATTTTGGTGCCAAGTTTGCTTTTATACCTCTTCATAATGTGTCCTACAATAGGCAGCATTTATGCCAGGGGCCAAGGTGCTGGAAGTGGCGGTCCGTGTCATATTCAGATTGTGCAGAATGATCTCATTCATGTGTTTCATCCCCATGAGCTCATCTGACCCTGGGTGACACACTGGTAGATGCCCGCTTGACAGACAAGTCGACTGAGGCAAAGAGAACAAAAAGGTCTCTCCTACCCTTGGCATATTAGTGCAGGAAAATCCTAGAGATTTGAGGGTAGGAGCTCACTGTGGTGCAGGAAGGACCTTTTTAATGTCCAGCCTCTCTTCCAGGGGAGAAGCCTGAGCAGGGCTGATTAGCTAATCCCATATATAAATCCCTTGAACATTCAAAGAGAAAAACACCCATATAACACTCTGCCTATCAAACTGTGACTCGAAACCTCAAAGCAGAGCTAAGTGAACTTGTCTTGATTTGGTGATAGGCATTTTTAGCCCAAGAGAATAAGTCTACTGTCTCTTGGTGTCCAACACACTTGGTGCACAGTTGGTCTAGTTGGCGAGAAATCTGTCTTCAAGTTTCCAGAGTGACCTAATCATCTGGATGTCTTACACAGTCAGGAGAGCTCCAGAAATCTTACATACCAGTGTCAGGCCCTGGAGTAACTCCTTAAAGTACATTGAGTGGTATTTGACATTGACATTGAGTGGTATTTGACTGGGAGCCGTGTACTGGTATTCATTCAAGTTTCCAGTAGAGTCTGTCTCATAGTATCTTCTGGGTTAAGGAAGTGCCCAGAACAGGAAAGGTGCTTAAGAAAGCTGTGCTAAATAAATGCTATTGTTGTACTTTTGATACACATGTGGAACTCATACTTGTTTGTGTGATGCCTGTGTACATTATGAAAGGAGTGGTTGCTTTTCTCTTTTGCCATAGATGGCATGAAAACAGTTGTTGTGGTTTTTTTTTTTTTTTTTGAGAATGTTCATGAGAAATATCAGCCCTCTTTTCATTTTTTTTTTTTAAGATAAGGCATTAAAGTATATATTTGGGGAAACCGATGAAGGATTTTTCTTCCATGATTTATGTTTTCTAGGGCTTTGGATTTTGTTCATGGTTCCTAAACTGAAGCAGATGTTTCATAATCAAATCGTACAATTATTGAACCTGCTGGGGACAAACGTGTGGTATGAAGGAGAGGAGATGTTCTGAGTAGATCTCCATTCATTTGGTGATCAGTGTTCCAATGTTTAGAAACTCACCACTTTTCCAGGCAATCATGATCGCGTGTCTCTTCTGTTCTGCCTTTTTCTGGTTATGATTTTCATCTGTCAGGCATATTAAGTATGAGATTTCGTGCCTCAAATTTCATAGCTAAACCACTCTTCCTGTGGAATGCTCCAAAAAAAATCCTTTTTAAGTAATTACATACAAGGGAAGAAAATTAAGAACTTGGAGGCAGAGGACCTTCACCCAAGGATGTCAACCTTGCGCTTACAGCAAGAAGGCTCCAAAGAAAGTTTTATCTTCTTTTGTGTAATCCACTAAAGAGATGTCACTGACATTCACCATCAGCTTGTCCCCTTCCTGCAGGGAGAACATGGCCCCTAAGTAGATGGGCTGGAACCAGTTGCTGCCTACTTCGCACACTGACTTGGTCCCCATTAGGAGCTGGGTCGGCTCTGGGTAGCTGTCTGTTACCTTGGTGATTACGACAATGATGGAGTCTGGCTTGTTCAGTCGGCTCCCTTGGCGGATTTCACCACACTCAGACGTGGTCCCTCGGAACGTGACCTGGGAGTAAACAAAGTATTCTCCAGACTCTGGGATCACCAGGAATTTATTTGTATAGTTCATCCGGTTCTTGGTGAAGGCCAAGCCAAGTTCATGTTCCCAATGCAGGGCTGGGAACTGACTTTTCAAGGGCTGTGTGGGAGTTTGTCTCACAACTGCAGAGACAAAAAAGAGAGTTAATTTGCTTGTGTCTGAGCTTGCTTTGCCAAAAAGAGTCTCCTATTATTTTCCAAGTACAGTGATTGAACAAAACCAATGACTAACAAGTTCCTTGAGGAGGAATGAAGGGAGGAGATGTAAGTGGATAAACTTTTGTTCAGAGAAGAGCATCTTAGGGCACATTACTTTGCCTCTCTGCACCCGAGTTTTCTTTCCTGATCATGTAGAATTTTACCCGAGCCCCATGATCCTGGAAAACGGTGAAGGTTGAGAAACCTCACTCTTTTGGGTTTCGGAAAACAACCTCCTTTCAAAGAACCTCTTCTCCAAATGGCTGAGATAAAACTGGTGGGTGTCCCCTGTGCGTCTCTGACGAGGCCAGACTCCAGATCCTCCAAACCCTGACTCTCTGCCTCATAAATGATTAGCTGAACTGTTTTGTCCCCATGGGTCCACTGGAACATACTGCTTCTTAACCAGACTTTGGTTACGCTTCTCTCCTTCCTCCTGGCCCCTGAGCTTTGGGCCTGCCCTCAGCCCAGGGCCAGCCTATAGTCTTTCCTGAGAATAGGCTGCCCTCAGGGTGAACATTCTCTGACGCTTGCCAACCTTCATCCCACTTCCTCACACCTGGTCGGTTCCAGCTTTGCTTACTCCTTTCTGTAAAAGAAAACCCCGTTCAGCCTAACCCCCAAGACACGTGTAGGCCTTAAAGGGCAGAGCATTCTCCCTACTGTGAGTGACCTTCCCTCTCCCTTCTCTCATCCTGCAATATTCTTTTGGCACAAACTCTCTCCTTACTAACTAAGCATTGGTTTTTCACTTGACATCTCTTTCCTTAAAAAAAAAAAAAAAAAAAAAGGACATAAAAACACCCATGGAAAAGATAAAAAAGGACGGTGTGGATAAAATACCTAGCTTTTAGCAATACGCTCTAAACTGCTTTCACATTGATTAGCCTTTTGTTTCAGACCTACTGTCCAACAGAGAGGGCATTTCAGAGAGTCAGGGGCTCCCTGTAGCTCCCCTGCAATGCTATGGGCCAAAGTTACATGAGACGCAGGCAGTGATTAATAAAAAATCATCATGCAGGGCAGATATTGGAATGGGAGATGCAGAACCTTTTGGAAATGTTTCTCTGACACCAACAGAGCCAAAATATAAGCCGATGTAATTGACTGGTGGAGTGGAAGGGGCCGGGGCTTTGGGCCACAGAACTCAGGTCCAGCTCTGGCTCTAAGGCACGTGAAGTTTTCAGTAGTGTGGGTCCCTTCTCTCTGAGTCTCTATTTCCTGTCTGTGAACTGGAGATAAAGCCCCTTCATTCCTTGTTTGGAAGATCAAGTGAACAAAAGAGACACAGTCATTTTTCTCCCGATGGCTAGATACGGCAAGTACTCAACACTTACTTATTTTCTTTCCCCAAATAAACTAGTATCTTCCGTTTTGGCAGATTAAAATATAAGCTTATTCCACCTTATATATTTCGACATGTTCTTATGTTTGCGTTATTTACAAGTCCACACGATTTCCTCGGACATATAAATGAATGCTTTTATGAAGTATGTGCACAGCACGAAAAAAAGTGAATTGGGACCAACTCATTGATTTTAAATAAAATAATCTGCAGTAAAATGAATATTTTTTAGGAAAATAAAAAGATATAGTTTAATTTCCTATGAGTGCTTTCGAAGTCCGTAACAACCACCAGTGTGTGCCATCAGCCATAGCTTAGGGATAGTTTATGTTTAAGGAAATATTTAGCAACCTTCACACCCAGTGGCTGACTAGAAACTTGGTTCCTGGATTTTTCTAAAGCCCCTGTTCTGAGGCTGACTGGACTATGGTTTGTTTTGCACAATGACACGTGTTCAGGACACGTGTGGTCTCTCTGGCCCCTGCGTTAAATGGCCCCTGGAGAGCTCTATCATCTCTGTGCAAACTCTGTGAAAGGCATTTTTATTAACCACTCCTGGTCCTCTCCCTTCCCACTGAGGGTGATGCAGCAGATTAAAAAAAAATCCTCTCGGATGTCACAGAGGCAAAAATCGTTTAGTCTCTAGACAAAGCAAGTCCTGTTAAGATGGTCTGCAATCAATGTGGCAGCCAGTGGGAGTTAGGGGAGGAAGTGCGTCGTAATGGAGTCAGTGAAGGTCTAGGAGTCAGTGCAGTTCTAGGAGTCAGACTCGATCCACAGCTCTTCCTAGTCATGCATGTGACTTGGGACAAGTGACTTAACTTGTCAGAGCCTCAGTGTGCCCCCTCGTCAGGCTGAAATGAAGATTAAACGAGATTGTGGATGTAAAATGCCTACCACAGTGCCTAGTACACATTAGGAGCTAGTGTGTAGCTCCCCCCCCCCCCCCGCAGATCCCCATTCGGTAGGAAGAGGGGTGACATGTCCACATTCGGCTGCTAGGAAAATCCTGCTTAGTTTGTTCAAACTGTCCCATTCTGAAAGGCAAGTGGTAAGTGACTGGTGACTTGGCATCTCTCTGGTCCTAATCCTCACTCAGGACTCACCACAGACATTTTCCTCTTGGGCAAACAGTAAGATGCATGTCTTGGGCCTCAGGGATAGTCCCCTGTGGGTTGCAAACTTTCTTATAGGTCAGGAGACTACACTTGCTTTTAACTCTCTAGTCTGTCAATGGGGTTTTTATGCATATTTGTGCCTTGTCTTGTTCTTTTCCCTGGAGTCTTTGAGGTATATGCACCTCTGGGCATCCGATGCCAGCAACTTCAACACTAGGCTTGGGAAACTGATATTGGTGATATTATGAGGCTGCTCTTAATCTCTTCACATCAACAAAAATTCTTTGTCAACATCTTCCTTGAATGTAAATGGCCAACCACTTCATCCTGAATAGGGTACAGATGGACTTGAGAAGTTTAACAACTCAGAGGAACTTTTATCTTCGACTAGATTCAAAATTATGTGAATCTCTGAGTCTGAGAGAAGCCATTTCTGAGTGACTGAGGGTGTGAATGAAAGAGAGAGACAGAACAGCAAGGAAGAGGGTCGGTAGAGTCTGAAAGAAAATGCCCGAGGGTCATGGGCCTTTGGACCTCTTAAGGGATGGAGATATCTGAGAACCTTCAACTGAGAGGGGAAGTCTGTTACCAAGGTGTGTGGTTTTGGGTTTGAAGCTCCTAGAATGACTTTGGGCAAATCCTCTGAAAGAAATCTTGGGCGCATGGCCCATGCATGGTCCCCTGGAAAACACACCGGGGAGAAATACCTGTCAGATGTGCCCTTGGCTTATCCCCACCAGCTCCAGGAGATGCATCTGTAAGGAAAGGAGAAAGATGCTTTGTGTGAGTTAGAGTGTGACCGGAGTGAAGACAGTATTTTTGGAGTTGCATGGTGCCTGCCACTAGAGAGAAACATTCTTCTCCCTCAGCTTGGCCCCTTGTAGACTGTTGTTGTTTCTCCAGGGACAGAGAGGCCTCAGGAGAAAGAGTCTTGAACACAAATGAATCTTGGCTCATAACTTTGGGCAATTTTCTAACCTGTCCAAGACGCTGTTTTCTCATCTCTAAGATGGGCACATCAACTCCTATCATGAATGGAGCGTTCTGAGCATGATTCCTGGCACACGGTCTAGGCTCAGTAAACTCACATCGCCCTTCCCTCCCTGCTACTGCTTTAGGGGGAGCAAATGGACCGTATGCAAGGTCCCTTTAACCATATTAACCATATCCATTGATGGGTGGCCTAACAAATGGGATAGGGAGTGGGTGGGACATTGTTCTAATACTTTTATAGGAAATTACTGATTTAATCCACACTAATCTGACATGGTAGGTACCATTTTAACCATTCTCACAGATGAGTAAACTGAGGCAGAGGCCATCAACTCCAAAGGTCATGAACTTGGCCACAGCACCATTTTGTCTTTTTAGTGACCGGGGAGGAACCTCACTTCTCCTCTAGGTTTACATCCCTCTGAACCTCCTGCATACCCAAACTACTAGATAATGCCCCGTTCCCCACAAGAAAAGGCATCAGATATGAACACACTTACAAGCTCGCTGATGTGAAGGTCCAAACTCCCGCCCTTTTGGAGTCTATTGGGAAGGAAAGATGATTCAGACAAACCTGTGATTCTTTTGTCTCCCAACCCCACAGCTGCCTATAGCAAAGGCCTGGTTAAGATGCTGCTGCCGCCCAGCCTGGGCTCTCCGGAATAAGGGACATGGCAATGGGAATACTTGATTGAGGGGAATCTCATGCCCAAGCACCCCCCTTTCCTCCTCTAGCAGCCTGATGACCTTCTCTCTCCTATGACTTTGAAGTTCTGTCCTAAGAGCTTTCCCTGTTCTGTTCCAGGACACTCTGACATCTGTCTAGGCTTATATTATTTGAACAAATGGTGGCACTTGTTTCATTTTCTTTCTTCCACCATGATCTAAAACTTGGAACTATTTTTAAAATTTTAAAAGTTTATTTATTTATTTTGAGAGAGAGAGAGGAGAGAGAGAAAGAGAGAGAATGAGTGGGGTAAGGATAGAGAGAGGGAGAGAAGGAAAATCCCAAGCTGACTCCATACTGTCAGCACAAGCCCGATGTAGGGCTCCAACTCAGAAACTGTGAGATCATGACCAGAGCTGAAATCAAGCGTCAGATGCTTAACCAATGGAACCACCCAGGATCCATTGCCCCCAAAATTGGAACTATTTTTTAAAAATGATGTAGAAAAAGAAATAAGGGCTCTATTCTCCTTCCCATCAGCCCTGTTTCCATGCAATACACAAAGAAATTTGCATCCTTGCAATCGTAGTTTGCCAGCCATTTCAGATACCACGTGGGAGTGAAAGAGTAACTGCTTCGGAGGCAGACACACCCGAACTTGAATCCCGCAGTCCACACTAATTAACGACATGATCTCAAACAATATGATCTTTCCTCTCTGAGCTCTGGTGTCCCCTTTGTAAAATGAGAATAATAACATTCCTAGCCTCAGATTACTCCCAGGTTGGAGATGAGGATCAAATCAGAAAATGTAGGAGTCAGGGCAAAGAACACATGGACAATGAAGGAATCACTGCTCATGTGTCTGAAAGTAAAGCTCAGGGGCAAAACTAAGCCCTTGGCTTGGGGATAAAATCAGCATTTTACATTTTACAGTTTCCAAAAAAACCTTCTCTGATATGATATTGACTCCCTTGGAGTCTTCTGATTGGGATCTTGTACCTTCTTAGTCCTCATGGACAGAGAACCTTGTGTAACCATGTTTACATCTGAGAATCTGCACGCGTGTGAGACTGTACTTGTGAATGGAGAATTGTGTGTCCATGTGGGTGTAACAGAAGATGGCTCCAGCAGCAGGGGAGGGTAGGAACAGCTGTGTTTTGTGTGTCTACATGTGTCCGTGGCACGGTGCTATGTGCACACGTGTATGTGGTCATGTGGGTGTAGCTGTGTCATCGCTGAACAGGTCTTTGAGCAGGTCTGTGATAACAGTGACCTTGTTAGAGCCCAGACTGCCGGGCTCTTTTTACCCGCACACCATACTACCTGACCTCCATTGGAAGGCTTCCTGAGGACAGAGATCCTGTCTTTGAAGGACTGAATCTATTATTTCTCCATTATCTGCTTCGTAATTCTGTTAATGGCACCATGACTGCCTCCCCTCTTACCAGACTTGAAATTTGCTGCTTTCTTTTTCCAGCAAACCCAAGCTGCCGCTTCTATTTTGCAGCTTTTCTCATTTGTGCCACCCCTCCAGGCCTTAGCATACTGTTCTCCTGGATTCTCCCATGAGTCTCTTAACTGGTCCATTTGCATCTGGTTTTCCTCTTCTCAAAATCACCTCCTCTCCTGCTCTGAATGCTCTTTCTACAGCCTCACTGTACTGGGACACAATTCTGTTCATACACCTTCGGGGGTTCCCCATGGTCTTCAAGACACAGGCCCAACTACTTCTCTTGGCTTGCGAGGTCCCAGTTGACCACCCCATTCTTGGGACCCGCTCTTTACTCCTCTCCAAGACCTCTGTGCTCCAGCCATGAGAGGCAACCACAGTGAAGGACTCAAAGGGCTTGAAAAATCCAGTAAGCGTAGCCACTACCAGTTGAATGACTAGTGGCACTGAACTATGTTTAACCCTTCACACACATTATCTTCTTCCACTTGGCAATGACTCTTAAGGTAGATGCTTTTCATATTCTTATTTGCATATGGGGCTCAGTCAGGTTAAGTAGCTTGCCCAATGCCTCACACCTGGAAAGTGAAGAAATAGGATTTTAACCCAGCCCAATCAACTCCAGAATCTCTAGCCCCAGGCTATTGCACTTCCCACTTCCGGACAAGGTCCCCATCTGGTGAGGTGGATGGATAAGTACCAGCAGTTCCATGCACTGTGAGAGTAGGGGAAGCACAGAGTTCAGAAAACAGGAACCTGGTCCAGAACTGGGGCAATCAGGGGAAATTACCTCTGAAATGAGTCTTACATGTCCCACAGGTATTAGCCAGGTGATAAAAAGTAATGACCATTCCAGAAGAGGCCACCAACTTGTGGCAGCGTAAGGAGGCCCAGCAGAGCATGGGAGCAGCTGGGAAACTACAAGGAGTTTTGCTGCCAAATGAACTTATTATATACATTTAGCACAGAGGCATGAGTAGAGTGGCTTTGGGAAACCCAAGCCCAGTTGATGTGACTACTTGTCCAGCATCAATAACTTTGACAGGCTGGGGTGGGGGGATGGGCAGAGAAGCAGCCTAGAAATGAACTCATTCTGTAGCCTGTTTCCTTATTTGCTGTTGTCAGAGCTGATAAAGAATCGGTCTGTGACGAGGCAGAAAACTGAAGGTGAACTCAGAGAGAATTGGGGAGAGCACGGTTGCGTCCTCTCGTGTACGAAACGGTACTGCCTTGCTGGTCCTCTGCTTCGTTCAGCTCTCTGCTGAGAAATCTTCTTGAACATCTGCTTGTTTTCGTCCAAACAGATGCTCCACCAAGAGACTGGAACATTCCTCTTGGCCCAGAGTCTCGTTGCCATCAGCCTGTATCTGTGACGTGAACACATTTCCCTACTGGCTGTGCTGGATTTCTATAACTGGGGCACACATTTATTCTCGTGTATGGTTGAACATGGTTGGGTTTCAGTGGCCTAGAATCGGCCATTCATCTGGAGCCTGTGACAGGGCCAGTTGGCAGATGTCAAAGACCTCAACAGTCCAAGAGTCCCCAAGAACATCAGCTGTGACTCTCTTTCCAAGAACCACACCTAAGGCTTTCCATTGCTGCTTCTCTTAATAGTGATGCTCTCACGGGAGAAAGAGTTTTGTGATGGGAGGCAGGAACGAATGAAGAGGAGATTTGAGACAAAGAGCTAGTAGCTCATTTGGGAAAAGTTTCGTGCATCTGAGCCGGTTCCACGCCAGATCTCAAGATGGCTACCGACAACACCAGGCCCGGAAAAGTCCCTAGTGGCTCCAACCCTGACTCCTCTCCATCGCTTCTGTGTTACCCTGGGGTACCAGGGAGACAGCTTGTGAGGGATGCAGTGTTATCTTCCAAATTTGAATAGGCACAGAGTCCAAGAGCATCCCAGGGGAATGTGATTTATTCTCTCGTAAATGCCTTCTCACACCACTGGCTGAGGACCAGGACGCCATTGCTTTCTCTTCCTAAGTGTTTATCACTCCCTGAAGGGATATTATTATTTGCGTGCTAATTGCTTTTTGCTCTCCAGTGCAAGTCAAGCTGCCTGTGGGCAATGACCTACTCCATCTGTCTCTTGCTCACCACAAGATTCCTGGTGCCTCAGACAGTGCCTGGTACTTCGGCTGGATTATCCAAAGAGCAAAATATGCTGTTGCTCAGACATCAGAAAAATAGGAAGAAAAGAGAGCCAAGAGATGGAGCAAGGTGTAGCTTCTGTGACTTTAGCCTGAGTTTTACAATCCAAAAAACTAAGAAAGAGACCTTTTATATTTTAGAACACATGCCGAGTTTTGAGTTTTTGTTTAAATAAAACACAGTTAATTCAAGAGTTGGATGGCCCATCGTCTTTTAGTCCTGGAGCCTCCAAAGGTTTCCATCGGGCTCTGCTGGCAGCATAGTCATAGCTCCAGAAATGTGTGTTGAAGGTTGTGAGTTTTGGCCAGTAGTCAGAAGCAGAAAAGGCAAATGTGTCTGCCTTTGGGGATTCATATTAATGGAATGTGCGACACCTGTGGCCACTAGCATTTATGGACCCAAGCAAAGCAAGCTGGTGCTTTTCACCCTTTAGTTCCTATAGGTCAGGGGATTTTCCCCTTCGTTTGATTTTCTCTCTTTTCTTCTTCTCACTTTTTTTTTCTTTGTATGCTGATTGGTAATCCCTGACACAAACTAACCATAACCTATTGCTGTAAGCATTTTTGGAATTACTCTAATACTCCAACGAGGGAAGAAAGAAGGATGGAGGAAGGGAGATGACTATCTAGTTGAGTGCTCGGGATACGCGGTCCTGTATTGGTGTTTACATGTGTTTCTTGTCTACCACTCCAGTTACTCTCAAAGAAGGGCATTACCTTTTTTGAAAAAAATTTTTTAATGCTTAGTTATTTCTGAGAGAGAGGTAGAGTGCGAGTAGAGGGGGAGCAGAGAGAGAGAGGGAGACACAGAATCTGAAGCAGACTCCAGGCTCTGAGCTGTCAGCACAGAGCCTGATGCGGGGCTCGAACTCAGAAACTGTGAGATCATCACCTGGGCTGAAGTCAGACACTTAACCTACTGAGCCACCCAGGCGCCCCAGGACATTACCTTTTTATAACCTTTGCAAGCCAAAGGTCAAAAAGTAAATGGAGGGTCTAGGATCTGAACTTGGAGACCAAGTGCAGACCCTGGCGTGGATCAGGAGCCCCTTCAACATTAGCTGACTACCCACCATGGACAATGGAACCTGAAGATAGATGAGTCTTTGAGATTCTCTTATTGGCATTTCCCCAGAAAAATCCCTTGAGTGTATTTTAACTAATGACCCGTTTAGCCTTTGTCTTGTGTCCCATACCGACTGTCTAGTATAGTCATAAACAGGAAGAGATATCCATTGCCTGCCGTCATAAATGCCGCGATTGC